CCTTTTCCCCCTTTTTCGCTCGCAGTCCTCGATTACCTCGGCTAAGTTGTATTTTCCATGTCGTTATTTCTTGTAATCCTTCGTTTTCCCCCCCTGTTCTCGGCTCTCGTTATTTAGCAACGCGACAGAGCTCCGGAGCTCAGCCTGGACGCGGGTGGCTTGCGGGGAGCTTCGCTAGAGATCGTCCCCGGACACTGCATGAGTGGAGAGTGAGAGTTAGCCTACATACAACGCGACTCGTTTCGCTGCTCTGTGCACAGGCAGTATTTGCCTCGACTCCACGGCTTTACCTCCCTCGGTGTTGCACAATGGGTTGCTATAATTTATTCATGAGATCATGAGGGATGTTGGTTCTCTGTCGGAGGAGGTAAAAAAAGACACTTTTTTTTCTTCGCCTTCCTCACTGCCTTCCCGTCGTCCGCAGTCGCAACTAACCGATCGCCTATCCGATCACAGCTAGAGGACGTTCGCTCCCTCCCCTAGTTTCTCTTGGCTCCGAGCAAACCCCACGGTGTTGAATGAAACGCGGGTCATTTTGGCTCCTGAAACAGAGCCTGTTCCCGTTCCTTGATCTAATCCCGAAGCTAGAGCCAACATGGCTGTCTGTTGTGAGTTGAAGGTGGGGGTGTCGAGGACTGCAGAGTTTTGGGGTTTTCGTAAACGGCGTGATTTCTAACTTGCCCGTCGACCCTTTTGAGGTGGAAAAAGGAATAACATTTGAAATGTGTTGTAACCGCGTTATTCTATCACCGCACGACATTTGTTTTAAGTGCACAATAATTGAAGTCTTATACAAACATTCGGCATTTAAAACAAAATAATTTCCCACTAATAAATGATGCATTTGTGTGTGTCCGTTATTCAAAATGAATTAAAAACAGCCACAACACATCAGGAAGACATCTTACCATGTTATTTGGACACTGACGTTTCATTAAGAAGTACCATCTTTGGTGTAATTAATCTCAATACTTTTGATTGGAACGTATACATTCTTTTACACAACGATCATTTTTAGTAACAGTGATGATTAAAATGCAGTCTCACAATAACCAATGATGAAGAATGTCATCATAAGGAAATCTGGGTTTAAAAATAAGTGGGAGACGGTGTGCTATGATCACAAAATAACACACTAACAAATGGTGTCCCTGTACAAAACCCATACTGTACATATTGAAATACCTCACATTTTAATGTCAGAAATCGGCTCCAATTATGTGAGCTGTTCTTCTAACAACTGTGATCGATATAGCACAAACCACTAAACAGGCTAATGTTATTTCTTCTGTAATATCTGTGTTGACAATAACAAATGATAAAACACAAAGTAGAGTAGAGGAGTTTATTGCCACATGTACATGTACATTGGAATTCTTCTTCACGTGTTTATCTCAGTACAGCAAACAACACAGTCCAACAGAAAACACCTCACAATGTAGACAGTACATTACAAAATGTTTCAGAATAGAAAGTGATAGTGTGTACAGTCAATAAACAACCAGAACAATACAAACACGGTAGAGAACAATTTATATGTGGTGAACAAAAACACACGGTAGCCCAAGTCAAAAGTGCATAGTGCAGAGGTGCATTGCGTTCTGGGGCATTGCACAGTTAGCTGTTTATGATGCGTACTACCATAATTTAGAAGCTGTTCTTAGGACGTAACTAGAGGACACAAGAAGAATCTACATAGAAATGGATATAAAACTGAGAACGGAGGATATTTCTTTATGCAAAGGCATGTGGCAATGTGGAACAAGCTACCCAGCCATGCTGAAAGAGAAATATACTCTTCCTTCAAGAAATGGCTGGACGAGTTCTTCTGATCTATTAGCTGTTAATTTCCAGGATGGGTCTCCTCTCGTTTCCAACTGCTGTTATGCTCTGATATAGCTATAAAGATTCATGAATGTAATGTCCTTCTTTACAAGTTTGTGTCTTGTCTTTGTGCGCACCTTGTCATGGTGCCTTATGCCTCCTGTTTGCCCACTGCTGCCTAAGAAAATAATTGACATCCTTTCTGACATGACCTTCCCTGAAAAGGGCAAGATTAGTCCTGACAAATTAAACCTTTCATTTACTCAACGTGTGATCTCTTTCAAATCTTACCACTAGGCAACCACTAGGTATTGCATTGATTTCAAGAGGAGAAGGCTACATTACTTCTCAGTATGGCTCCCTATGTGCCAGATCATCAAATACCCACTTTGCAATTACGAGCTCCATACCTACAAATGGAGAGTAAGTAGGTTCATACTGGAGTGTATAAATACATAAAGTTTCCTCTCAGGTTTAGCCGTAAGTGCCTCTTGAGTTTAAAGTTATTAATGCATTGAAATCCATGCCTTGGATGAAGAAAATAAGTTTCCATGTTTTGTACTGTAGGCGTTGGATGCTTTGGGTGTTTTTATGTGCAGTGCTTTCAGTCAATAAACTCATTGGCTTTGGAACTGTCTTCCTGAAAGGACAATGAAGGCTAAAATGTCCTTTCTGGATATACTTAATGGAAATTGAGTTTATTTTATTTGAAATGTCATTGCCTTTGAGAACGCCCTGGCTCTGCTTTCACAACTGATTTACTGTAAATTGATTTGCTGTTTTCAGTGAACGCTGCTGCCACTGGGCTGTACCTGAGTGTCAGGCACAGAAGGCCTACAGTACTAGCATGGAGCCGAGTTCCTGGTGGTGGTCAACTCTGCTGAACTGGCTCGGTCCACCTTTCACCCAGCACATGTCAGCATGGGGCAGGAGGATGCAGAGAGTGTCCAGCTCACCCCCGGCAGTCTACCTGCCAGCCTGCATGTCAGCACTGCAGCTTGAATAGCAGGGGGGACACTGGGGAGGAGTTACCAGGCCATGAACAAACACAAAGAGAAGGTCAAGAAAGGTCACACCCAGTCACACCCTCATCAGGACTCAACAACACTGGGGAAAATTCCATCTGAGAGGGAGAGAAAAATCTCAGGAAAGTAGAGAGACACAGACAAGGAGATAAGGAGCAGGACTGGAGATAATGACTGAGAAAGGAGACAGACAAACAGAAACGAGGGGAAGAAGAAGAAGAAAGGCTTGCACAAGAGTACATGACAAACACATCTTACCTTAACCATCTCCCACATCCTTTCCACTCAAACAGAAAGCTACATTGAAGGCTACACCATGTGAGCCAAGCAAATCCTGCCTCAGGAACAGTGCCAATATTTCATTGACACAGGTTAAACTCTGGCTTCTTTCTCAGTAATTTCATACAGATTTTCTGACTTGACCCACAGCTGTTCCAAGATTTTACATCACCTCAGTGGTAAGGATCAGCTGATCCATTATTAATTACTTGATTAACAAACTTGTTCGCTACACTAGGTTTCCCAGAGTCCCTCAGCTAGTGGCTTACTCCATTTAGACTGACATATGAGCAAATAACACTGTACCACTAATATTAGCAGTACCACACAGATATACCATCCACCAGGACACAAAACACTTTTGCACATGAAAATCACTGACTAAATCAGTAAAAATCTCTTTGCATTGAGAAATATCTTGTCTTCTTAATTACGATTGAAAGATGACTACAGCTTTGTATATGCAGTATTCAGTGCTTCTAGTATCCACAACATTCCTGCCATTTTAATGCTAATACTATTAAATATAGAACTTCATCTTTCCCATGCTTGGGGCATGTTGTTGATCTCTTCCTTGCCGAAGACCCCAGGGAAATATTCATTCATCAGCCATTTCCTTTATCATCTCAGAAACTTTGCCATTATCATAATCTCTGAGACATAATTTTTATCCTGCACCATTCTTTTGCCGACATGATACGTGTCACAACATGACACAATACTTAACAAAATAAAACTTTATTTATTACTCTCCATTGCATTTATTTTTCTTTCCATTTTCTTTTTTTCTCTTTCTTGTGTTCTGGGATATTCTGTTTTAACCAAACCCTATATGGTTGGAAATATTCACTTAACTGTGCTCCATTTCTTTAACTGGATGCTGTACTTTTTGAATCACTCTATAAAGTACCTCCTTTCTCCTCACATTTTTCTTAGTTTATTACACTATATGGACAACTGCTTCTGATGGGAGTTACTCATGGGATTAAAGTAAAAAGAAATAATCAAAGTATTGCCATGCATTCTATGTAAAGTTTCAAAAATGAAATGTAAAAAAATGTGGTCCATTTTATGATAGTTACCACAGTTACCTAATGGTTCTCTCATCTCTGTTTTCCTCACCCTGTCTTGTTATAGATGATTAAAACGACATATTTATTCCTTACCCTAGCGTCCTATGACAAGCTCACTAAGCTGTTGTATACGTGAATTGGATATTTAAAAATGGAAAAAAAAAGTTAAACGATTAACAATGCACTTGTGAAGTCCTTAATCTATTTTGGGGATATAAGTGCGCGGGTATGCTTTAGCCTTAATTACTCATTTACCTACGTAAGGGTTTCAGTTGAACTGTTTCTCCCTCTTACAAAACGTGGAAAATTGCACGCGGCGCAAGCCACAAATTTAAATGTTCACATTTAAACATGTAGTTGTTGAGGATCTGTTCTTTGTTACGCTTCCTTAACGTCTGAAATTGTGGTTCCACCTTTACAAAAAAGAACAGTCTCTAAGACATCGAGTCAATAAGGCACTTAACCAAGCGAGGCCGGAATGGCCTGTACCACATCCACACATGAGAGGTGCAAGCGTTCGCAAATTTTATTGAGAAATTGTAAACACCTGCGTGTCCTCGGTAATACATGGGCATTTCTTTTATTCAACCGTACTATACTACATTTAACAGGTTTTTAAACAACAAAGGCCTTCTCCAGTTACAGAATAATAAAAAATAAAAATATACCATCCTGGCGGTGGCGGTTGGTATATTCTGCCTGCGAGTGCTGTAGCACATCATGGGAATTAGCCAACAGAGGAACTGAGCTCTGGGGCCAGACTAAAGCTGTAGAAAGATGAAAAATGGATAAGCCACAGTGATGTTCACTTATTTACGTATCTATTGCAAACACAACAACCAGTTCTGCAGTCCAAGCAGCACCACTGAGTGGTATTCCCGCCTGCCGAGGATTCATAAGAACGACTTTTTTATATACAGCGTGTAATGGCTAAACAAGGTATTTACATGCCACAAAACAGACTTTCTTTGCAAAGCAATGTGGTCCATTTTATGCCTGAAGGGGTTTAGATGCAATTAATCACGAAGCAAAACGAGAATATTTTTAATGCTCTTTTAGCATTAGATGTGTCCTAGGCACGGAAAGGTCTCTAAAAATACTCACAATACTTTAAACACCCCCTACCACCAGCTGGTGTCCTAAGAGCCTACAGTTCAGAAAACCTGACATGGAGTAAATTGCTCAACAACGGGATTCTTCTGTTCCTCCGGAGTGAAATTAATAATCAGCAGCCGGGAAGTGAGGAAGGTCACAACTTTCGTCTTTTAGGAAGGCCAGACGCACAGTGCGCGTTGGAACATCTCCTGTCATTTCCTTCTGCAGCGCGTCGTTTTGTTTTAATACGTTAAAGGCGAGGTATGGCAAAAAAAAGCAAACCGCAACACTAAAATACTTACAAAAAAATAAAACTGAATGTCTTACATGATGCAGAAATGCACACACAGCAGGCACACTTCGTGTCAAAGACATAAGTGCACTATCGCAGCAAGTGACTGAGCTGCACAGCGCCATTCAGACATTAATACTGTACAGTAGCAGAACTGGGGTGTGATTTCTATATAAAAGTGCTTCAGAAATCTGTTTGGTCTTCGCTGGTAACCTGTGCAATGAATGAAAATAATTTTGCAGAAAAAGAGCAAAATAATTCGCCATGTGTAGAGGTGCTTTCAGACTTTGTTTGTTGTCTTAAACAGAAAACTGCTTTTAATTAAAATAGCAATTTTCATGGTAATCACACAAATTAATTAAACTGACAAGTACCACAGAGGGAAATCAACACAAATAAGGCACCTGTCCTTGGATTAAAATGATAAACTGTCTCTAATCAACAATATTTAACTCATCCTAGAAAACTAAATGTGAGTAATGAGTTGTGCCACCACATCAGATACACAGATTCACAGGCACGTCTAGAGAAAGCTGCACATACCCTTATACTGCTGTTATGCAGCTGTCCACACTGGCTTCGGTGACATGACCAAGGAAGGCATATCATTTTCATCTTGCAGAGAACGTTGGGAAGCAATAATCCAAAGAGAAAGCAAGCAGAATGCTGGGATACATAGTTAGAACCGTTGAATGTTAGTCAAGGGTTGTTAAATTATACAATGTGCTTTTTAGTTCATTTAGAACATTGAGTACAGTTACCACGTTCTGAAATATATTACTGGTCTGAAATCACTTCGGAGAAGAGCATCCACATACATTCCTACATTAATATCATATCCTACTCTGAAAGGCAAAAAAAAAAACAGAATCTCTGTAGTCCTGGAGAGTACCTGTGAGGACATGTGGTTCATGTATTCAGAATCCTCAGGGATATTGACAAGGTCAGCCTTTATTATATCTTTTAATGATGTAATCAACCTTACACCTATATAGCACTGTCTTGGTACTTATATACTCCACTTAAAGCGCTTTACAGGTAATGGGGACTCCCCTCCACCACTATCAGTGTGAAACCTCACCTGGATGATGTGACGACAGCCATAGTGCACCAGTATGAGCTATCAGTGGGGAGGAGAACAGAGTGATGAAGCCAATTCAGAGATGGGGATTATTAGGAGGCCATTACTGGTAAAGGCCGATGAGAAATTTGGCCAGGACACAGGGGTTACACCCTTACTCTTTTCAAGAAAAATCCTGGGATTTTTAATGACCAGAAAGAGTTAAGACCTTGGTTTTACATCTCATCCAAAGGACGACATCTGTTTTTACAGTATAATATCCCCATCACTATACAGGAGCATTAGGACCCACACAGATCGCAGGTTGAGCGCCCCCTACTGGTCCCACTAACATTTCTTCTAGCAGCAATGGCAAAGCACATTTATAACTGAAACTAGGATGTGTTTTTTTACAGGAGTTTGGAACAAGCTACCTTGTCAAATTGATGAAGCAGACAATTTGCCATCATCAAGAATGGCTGCATGAGACCCTAGATGGGTCCCTCTGATTCCACTCATTCACAAAATCTGTCCCCTTGTGGGAGTTTACGAACTGCATTACTAGAGATCCCTGCATACACTCAGCACACTTTAAACATCATCGGTCAAATACACACCTACTGCACCCCATGCGCAAATTCATGTGCAGGGGCTTGACTTTGAAGGCAGTGAGAATGCATGTGTGTCTGTGTGTCTATCTGCAGGAGGTGAATCCTCTGCACAGCTCAGTCAGTCCCGGAGTCTGCAGAGCCCCGTTGCCCTGGAAACGGATGCTGAGATTCTGCATTTTCTTCATTTTTTTTTCTTCTTCTCCCCTTGATCAACTGAGAAACAGTTCAGTCCCCCCCTCACCCCACCCCACCTCCCCCGACCCACCACATACACAGAGACACACAGAGACTCCTCCGACCTGCTGCAGTCATTAAGCACTGTCACAGCCCAACACCCCCCACCACCACCACCACCACCACCACTGCCACAGCTCCAATACACACACATTCATAGGCTCACATAGTGTCAGCGCAGGCAACGCGCCTGCTATTGATCTCAATGAGCTGTCTGGCTCTGATGTGCGTGCCGGGGACAGTCATGCACTGTGCTGCAACAATCTGACCTCAAGCTAATCATTGGACAGACGACAGCACAAGACAGAGGAGGAGTTTGCCAGTGTGTGTGCATGAACATCTGTATACCTTTATACATGCTTGCACTATAGAAAGTGGCATCATGCAGACCAGTATTAGTTTTTCCTTAACATTTGCCTCATCCTGAGCTGGCTCAATTTTGGGCTTGCGTGGTATTTTGTACGGATTAGATCAGGAAACCATCAATTCATTTCGAATCGGAGCAGTATCTGGGTAAAGTCTGCTGCAAGCTGGAATTTGTAAAAATGAACATGATTGAAAAGCTGCTTCTTCACCCGCATTTGTATAGCCAGATTAATTTCTTAGAGGCTCGGCTGTACTGGATCTTCCTCGAAAGCTAGCTAACATACACAGACAAACTGGGCTCGGGATGCAGTTGAAATGTATTACTTGTTGACACGGTCTGTCCTTTGCCATAGTAAATTCAGAGAATCCCTTACACTTTCACGGACTGGCTAACCCCTAAAGACTGTGAAAGGCCCATACTCACGAACGCACCACCCTACACACACATGTGAGTGCGTGCAGGGCAGTGCTGTTCCCTTTTCTAGCCTTTTTAAGTCAATATTATTTTTTTTTTGCTGGGCGCTCTCTGCATTCCAATGCAGTGACTTTGCCTTTCTGGCCAGAGGAGGCACATTCCTGGAAAGTCGCTGACCGACAATAACAGCTCGTCACATCGGCGCTGGGTAAGGTAGTCCTGCTGGGAGCTGCTGCCCTGCACTGGAGCAGACAGAGACAGGGCAGAGTCGTTATCTCCTGTCCCACACCCACAAGCCCGGAACCCAGTGTCCCCCTTTATACCAGTAACACCTACTTCAGAACTCCATTGTTTCCTGAACCATTAAGACCAGGCTTGTATGCACTGATCAATCTCGGCTGCAACGGATGAAAAACAAAGAACTTTAAAATATAGTGAGCGACTGAGATGCGTCAATCACTTTAAGGGGGCAGCATGACCCTTTTTGTCTGTGAGATGACATGGGACGCGTGTGTCCTGGCTGAAGCACTTGTCGGGGAAGACAGCCGCAATGGAAAAAGGCCAAAGAAAATCTGACTCGCCAGTGCTGTTCTTCTGGGAAAAAAAA